CTTTCTAATTTTATTCTATTAGGACCAGAGAACATACTTTATATGATTTTAGTTTCTTTAGATTTGCTGAGGTCTGTTTGATGGCCCAGGAGATGGTCTACTTTCCTGAATGGTACAAGATACTTGGGGAAAAAAAAAAAAAAGACAGCGAGAAATAGAGAAGTATTCACTCTGCTATTGTTGGGTGAAATGAAATCATTTAGATCCTGTTATTGACTTGATCATATCATTCAGATATTTTATATCCTTATCGACTTTCTAATAATTCTATCACTTGCTGAGAGGACGGGGTTGAAGGACCTGGCCATGATTGTGGGTGTAGCTATTTCTCCATTCAGCTCCATCAGTGTTTGCTTCATGTACTTTGAGGTGCTGCTGTTTGGTGCATACTCACATAGAATCATTATGTCTTCCTGGTGGATTGATTCTTTTATCATCACACAAGGCCCTTCTTTGTTGCTCATTAATTTTCTTTGCTCCAACATCTAGTTTATTGCATAATGTGTCCTCAGGTATGCATCTCAAGCATTTTAATTATATATCACCTTATAGTCCCTCAGTAGAGTGGCATGGCTATTGGCCTCTCCTCAAGCCCTAGTAGCCACAAACATATCTAATTCACCATGTGACTAGATTTCAAAGATGTTTATTTTCATCTACAGAGGGTAATTTTAATTCTCTCTCCCATAGGTAGACTCACAAAGGGCATTTTATTTGTACCATGGGAAAGTGAAAAAATATACCAACAGATAGCAATACTTGTGGGTTATGTTCTTGGGGGAGGGTGGGGATTAATGTAATTAGACCATTAGGAAAGCAGCTACTTCTTGCTTTGTGACTTTAAGGTTCTCTAGCTCTCTTACATATTCTGTAAACTAATTACCAAAGTTGTCTCAGGGCACCCCCCCTTTTTTTCTTGAGTCAGAGACACTGTGTCATCCTGGATAGAGTACCATGGCGTCACAGCTCACAGCAACCTCAAACTCCTGGGTTAGAATAATCCTCTTGCCTCAAACTCCCGAGTAGCTGGAACTACAGGTGTGAGCCACTATGCCTGGCTAGTTTTTCTATTTTTTAGTAGAGATGAGGTCTCACTCTTGTTCAAGCTGGTCTCAAATTCCTGAGCTTAAACAATCTGCCCACCTTGGCCTCCCAGAGTGCTAGAATTACAGGTGTGAGCCACCATGTCTGGCTCTCAGGGCACACTTACAAATAAACATTCATTCATTGCTTCTACTTCCAGTATGTACTGATCACGACCTGCCCTGGTGTTAAAACCTCTGGGGGATGAAGGGCTCACTACTTTTAATGCATGATCCACTGTCAGGACGGTCTTGCTACTCATAACTTTTGAGACTTTCCTTGTGCTTACTGGAAGTTAAACTAAATGTGGGTAGAGACTCTGACATGCTTGGTCCATCCCCAAAAGTTGGAGGTGGCCTGGAGTGCTCTATTTCTCTCACAAACCGCATGCAAATGGTCAAGATGAATATGCCACTTCTTGGCTCTAGCTTTCAGATATATCCACCCCACTCCACCCACCTTGGAGAAAGTAAGGCCAGTCCTCAGGGACCCTCACACACTGCAGTCCCAAAAAGGACC